GCCCCAGATGCAGAATGAAGTGTGCACCTTGTATGAACGAAAAGAGCCGGGCTCTTTTCGCCATTCACTCCTGCTCTGAGCTGCACCAGCAGCTTAAGCAGGTGGAAACTGCTCATATTCCTCCTTTAAGGAGAGGTGGAAACTGCTCATATTCCTCCTTTAAGGAGAGGTGGAAACTGCTCATATTCCTCCTTTAAGGAGAGGTGGAAACTGCTCATATTCCTCCTTTAAGGAGAGGTGGAAACTGCTCATATTCCTCCTTTAAGGAGAGGTGGAAACTGCTCATATTCCTCCTTTAAGGAGAGGTGGAAACTGCTCATATTCCTCCTTAAAGAGAGGTGGAAACACTGGGCTACACCAAGATCTGTTCGGTGCAGTCTTGGGGTCAAATCGTTTATTGGTGTAAATGTAACTTCATAGGTGCCGAAGTGAACACATCCTGGATATAAACACAGATTTATCACAAACAACAGGGCTCCTGTTCGCATCCCTTAGCTCAGTCCTGGTCGCTGGCAGCACACGGTGCCTGCTCAGCTCCTCTGGGCCCTTAACCTCGGCTGACTCGCTCCTTTCAGGGCTGGCAGTGAGGTCAAAGCCATGCAAATGCTTTGTAGGGTTGAAGCAGTAGCGTTTAACATGCTGTAGCTGGAAGGGATTTGCATCACACAGATAGAATCATCTCTCACCTGTACAAAAGGCAGCGATTCCTGCAGGAAGCCTCACAGTTGGTGACTTATCTGTAGCTCATCAGTAAGGAAGACGTGCCAGAGGTCTCTTCCTATCTGTACAGCTTTGTACTTCAGCTGTTGTAGTTCTGGTGGCTAGCATAATTTTTTATCGTTATTAGACCTAGTGAAAATAGCAACTGATGTTGGTTTCAAAAACAATTAATGTATGGTATGGCAGGAGCTGTGTGAGTTACTCTGCAAGCTCTCCCAGTGCAGATGTGATGATCTCTGATTGCTCCTATGCTGTGGCTTGTTCTCTGTCTTGACTCTGTTGCTCGAGTCTGCCTGTTGTTTTCATTTCAATTCCAAGCAGTTTTTCTGTGCTTTATTTTTCCTTGCAATTCATTTTGCTATTTTTTTCCATTCTGCTTTCTTCAATTTACAGCTACTGTGTTTCACCTGCAGTCTGCACTCACTGGTGTTGCAGAGCAGTGCTGTCTGTTTGTTGCCAAGTGTAGTGTGCAAAGTGGTGCTGTGTAGTGCCAAGGTCTGGGAAGGAGAAAAAGGACTGGCAGTCAGTGATGGGGACAGAACTGATCATCTGTCTGGCAGTTGTATGTTGGCTTTGGCAGAGAGTAAAGATAAACCTGCACATCCTGGTGTGACCTTTCCTCTGTGCAGGCTGGAAATCCCAATCCCTAATCTCCATGTGCTTTTGCTTTTAAATTAGATAGCCCGAGCCTCTTGCGTCTCTCCTTAATGTTGGCCAACCTCAAATCACTGCCCCTGATCACTTTCACTCGCCTGCTCTGAGCTGCTCATATTCCTTCCTTAAGGAGAGGTGGAAATTAAGGAGGTTTTCTAGGTGTGGAAGAGAGATAGGAAGATGTGGATTGTCCTATCTATTTTTTTAATAGATTAAGAGACTATTTCATGGACTCAGCATGAAGATTTTCAATATCCGTAGTTAAATCCTTTTTCACAATATAGCAACATAGTATACATTTAAGTATTCTTGACAGTCTGGAGTCTTCTGATGAGGAGAAATGGTATCATGTTTAAATATTGTTTAACTCTTTGTTCATCTCAGTGTGTTGTGGTTG